TTTATTAATCCCGTAACTATAATTTTAATGATTTCTATTTCTTAAAGCAAACTAACAAACAGGAGACCACTCCAGTCAAAGTGCCGATCAAAAATTTCTTTGGTGTTTCCCGCCGCCTATTCGATGATGATGAAAAAGACTTTTGGTACATTGTTCAGGTGAAGCGATGTATGAACTTCGTATCTTCAAACTTTTTTAATTGGTGCAAATTATCCCACCATTCTTTAAGTTTATGCTTTAGGATCAGTCTAAACCAAGGTGTCATTGGAGCATCGAATTTGTTCACAGCCTTGTCAATTTCATTACGCTTTACGAAGCGCACTTCGCTGACCTCATTCTCATTCGGATTGAGATCGACATCCTTTTGCAGGAAAAGTATATAATCGATTTCATGTTCACCCCACACACCATCACCTGTATTGTGGTAATGTATGCGTGTCAAATAGTGAAAGTTTTCTGGTTGAATTTGTTCCGTTGGAATGCCAAGCTCATAGTTAAGCCGCCGCTGAGCTGCTCTTCGTACTCCTATCGCATTAGCTTCTTCCCGCTCCAATTCAATGTCGTGCAGTGGATGACTACAACAAGCGTTTGTATACGTGTCGGGGAATGTAATCTACAAAATAAATAATATAAATAAAGTCTCCAATATCAAATGCAAAACATGAAGATACCTTGTGTACGGAACGACGTTGCACAAGCATTTCTCCCTTACAATTGAAAAGGAAGACACTGAAAGCACGATGTAATTTGACCGCTCCAGTCTCTCCATTCACTCGATGACAATCAGCTTTACTGCTGGCGCCAATGGCGTTATCATTCGGATCTACCAAAATGCAGTTTTCCTTGAGCGCTAGTGCCTGCTGGGCATCATGTACTCCAGTCATGGTGCTAGATTCTGGCGTTGCTGCCGCTGCTGCTGATGAACAATTTCTAACCCATATGTGCTTATGAAAACCACGGAGAGCCGATCCACGTAATCTTGATAACACTATCATTGTTTCCTTCAACGAAATGCAAATTCAAGTATTTAGTTGACTGAGTTCATTCTATTTTGGTACATTGATCATATGGTTTACATGGTCTGCAGAGTTGTATTCTGTAGGTTTAGGATTAAAATTTATTGTGGACTAGATATAAATCGAAGAAAACCCTAAATCACTCGAAAATATCAGCAATGCACTGCATAGGTAAATCCTTATTTACATTTTAAGAAAAGTTTCGATCTGGGTCGTTCTGATAGAAATTGTTTATATTCACTGCATAACCGACACTTTCAAAGAATCCACACGGATTTGAACGAACTGGATTGGGCAATGCGCATAAGGGTTAAAATAAAAGCAACACTGAATTGGCAACCCTGTTGTGCGTAATGATACAAAAAAATCAGAGAAGTTCTTTATCACAATTTTGACCAATTTGCTTGCTGGAGTATTGGGNTTTACATTTTAAGAAAAGTTTCGATCTGGGTCGTTCTGATAGAAATTGTTTATATTCACTGCATAACCGACACTTTCAAGGAATCCACACGGATTTGAACGAACTGGATTGGGCAATGCGCATAAGGGTTAAAATAAAAGCAACACTGAATTGGCAACCCTGTTGTGCGTAATGATACAAAAAAATCAGAGAAGTTCTTTATCACAATTTTGACCAATTTGCTTGCTGGAGTATTGGGGAAAAGGCAAAATAAAATTGTTGAAAATTATGGTAAGCAAAAAGCGAAACGCCCCTCAGAAATTGAAAACTTTGGATGTAATTATTTGTTTTCGCAGATACGGTTCATTTTGATACAAAATCGTGCTGGTAAGACTCGTTTGGCCAAGTGGTATATGAATTTTGATGACGACGAAAAGCAGAAGCTGATCGAAGAGGTGCATGCAGTGGTGACAGTACGGGATGCAAAACACACAAATTTTGTCGAGGTAGGTGATGAATATAAAATTCAGGCTTTTGACACTTTCAAATAATAAAACTTTCTTGACCCGTTCCCACGAATCTGGGCGGGGGGAGGGAAATGTTTCCGGGCCAACCCAAATTTATGTGTATTCGGCCGGTGTAATTATTTGGAATGTCTTTTATTTATTGAAATTGAGACTGCCAATTACTCTTACATTACACTTTGTATGTATATTATTTAATATTTTTTTATTCACAGTTTCGGAACTTTAAGATTGTGTACCGCCGATATGCCGGACTCTACTTCTGTATCTGCGTTGATGTAAACGACAACAATCTGTGCTATCTTGAGGCGATACACAATTTTGTGGAGGTACTTAACGAGTACTTCCATAATGTATGTGAATTGGACCTTGTATTTAACTTTTATAAAGTTTACACGGTAGTAGATGAAATGTTCTTAGCTGGAGAAATACGTGAAACGTCGCAAACAAAGGTGCTAAAACAATTATTGACGCTGAACTCACTGGAATAAAAACTGCTGCCATCGATGCATTCCATTAAATAAGTGTGTTTATTCCGAAAATTAAGTATGTTTCAG